TCATCAAGACAAATCATTTTTAACCCAACGAAACGATAAGAATGCTAAAAGATACATCAAGACCAAGATAACGCAAAAAGTTTATTTTTTCTATTAACACTTCAAAATTTGATTGTCACGTATACAAACCACTAATATAAAAACATAATTCAAAAGATAAATACAAGTCTCAATGTTTTTGTTTCTCAAGTAGAATAAAACATAAAATAGAGGAATAAGAGAGTCCGTCGGGATGACAAGCAACTGCCACTCAAAAATCTTGACAAGCCACAAAATCAGAAGAAGGAGAAGGCAAAAGGAGAAGGAAAAAGAGATCACACAGGTCCGAACTCGAAATCTACACATGTGTAAGAGTAAGGAGTGAGTACCAACAACAAATACCCATCAAACAACCTAATAAACAAGCTGACGTAGCTAGAATCAAATACTCCTTTTCATCCCAACTCAACCTCCTCAAACTACAACCCGCCCAAAATCAGCTCTTGAAACTTTTTAAAAATGACTGATCGGGTCATTACAACATCAAAATTTTAATTATATCAATCCTGATATCAAGAGACACGTGAATTAAAACTAAAATTGAAAAGAATGAGATATATGTTATAAAATTGAAGATTTGTTATTTATTTGTGAAATTAATATGTGTAAAATTAGGTGTTAGGCCTAACTCACACTCAAAAAGCTAATTCAAAGGAGGGAGGATTGCACAAGCCTTATAAGGAGTCCACCCATCTAATTAAGGAGTCCACCCATCTAATTAACCACTATTGTTGGACTTTTGTCATTCTTTAACACTCCACCTCACGCCCAGTGCTTAATATCTGGTGCGTGGACAATTTTGATTTTAGGGACCCCAACATCGGGTGAGACGGGTCATTTTAGGAACCCCAACATCGGGTGAGATGAGTCCTGCTCTGTTACAATGTGAAATTAGGTCTTACGCCCAACTCGTACCCCAAAAGCTAGCTCAAAGAGAGGAAGATTGTCCAAACCTTATAAGGAGTCCACCCATCTCACTAACCATCGATGTGGGACCTTTGTCATTCTTTAACAATATGAATAATATTTGATTGAATTTTTATCCTTATTGATTTGGTTGAAGAAAATTGAACGAAAATCATTACTTTATTTGAGTAATTTTATTGCCTATTGAGTCTTGAATATTTGAGTGAATTCGAATGATTAAAATTATTGATATTGGTATTAGAAGATCGGATGTAAAAATATAGAATTGATTTGACTATTTTTGAAGCAAAAATTGTTATAATTCATCAAAATTTTAAGGTCAAATCCTAAAAATCTATTTAAATTTATAACAATGTGAATTTTATCCCTCAGCCTCTTATCCGTTTGAATTTGGCAAACTCTATAGAGAATATAAAACTAATTAATCCTCTACATTAAAAAGAAAGGAAAAGTCTACAAAATTAACCATTTTGGGACAATATTCATCTAATTTGAAGGACTAATCTTTTTAGTTACAAATAGATGTAACCCTTTTTAATCCCTTGATTAATAATTAGATAATTAATAAAGTTTTTATTCATACATGTAGCTCTAAAGTACTTTGATTCTCTTCTCATGCATATATTCCATAATCGTAACATTACATTATTTTTAGTTTTAATTAATTAACATTAATAGTTTAATTGCTATTAAATACATTTTCTTTAATAATATTAGTACTTTTTGTAAATGTCTCTAAAATCTATAATTTTCTGTTAATATGTTATATGTATATTTATTTCGTTAAAAATTATTTTTGTTACAATATAACGTTATCTAAGGTTCTCTTTTTACTATTCCACAAAGTTATTCCTATAAATATCACAATCTGAATTGTCTGATCAACCATCATTTTCTCCTCTTTATAGGAGACTATTGCCAATAATTTTAGTTCTTTAAATATATTTTTCAACTTTTTATGTTTCAATTTTTTGTATTCCAACCTTTTAATATTCGAACGTTTCTTTTCAAACTTATGGTATACTGATCTCTTCTATCCTCCTTATTTCTTACTTAAATGGAAAAATTAAATAATAAAATATTTGCAACTTTAGAAGATTAGAGGAGATGTTTTTTCCAGTTCCACCAATATAACTCATATAGTTATTTAATTATATGATAAGGTGATAAATAAGAGTAATTGTATCTCTCTTTTTTCTTTTTAATCGATACATGCTATGTTAAATCGTGTTATTCGTTCTTTGTTTTTTTATTTGTTGTTGAACTTTTTCAAGATGTGTGAATGAAGAATGAAATATTGTGATTTTTCAGAAACATTGTGATTTTTTTTGAGAGATTGTGACCTTCGGAAGGGATTTAACTTTTTTGAAGGGGTATGACTTCTTGAAAAGATTGTGACTTTTTCTATACGACACAATAAATATATGTTTACACTATCTTTTGTTGTTTAAAATAGAGAGATTTCTTCTAACTTTTCAACAACGAATTTCATGAACTTCTTTTTTAATTTGTCAAATATAAATTCTAGTGATTTTTAATATAATTGAGTGATTTGTGCACATTATAATTTTAAGTATTGATATACCGGTTAGTAAAATATCTATTAGACTAAGGAAGTGTTTGGATAGCCTCCTTTTTAATTTTTGTTTTTACCTAAAAGTAAAAAAGCTATTTACTCTTAACTTTTTTTTTTTATAAATATTACTATTTTTAAGTCCTAAAGCACTATATGTCTTTACCAAAATAAGTCCATTCAGGCATCCTCACAGGCATTATGAGCCCCTCATTAAATATCAAATACAAAATGTCAGTCCTATCTTATACGAATTAATTTGACCTAATATAAAGGTTATGAACATTTTTTTTTTTAAAAATAAATAATAAGTATATAAATTTATCTTTTTTCTTTTGACTAATTAAGAAGAATAAATTCTAAAAAATTAAATAAAATTCGCGATTCTTTCATGATACAGGATTTTTTGATTAACTAAAAAAATAAATCATATAAAATTAAATAAGACTCGCGATTTTTTCGTAATACAGTTTTTTTTTAAAGTCAAACATGAACATGAATACGTGGATCTGATGGGAGGATACTCTAATTATTGGTTATATTGATTAAAGAGGTGGATAGACAAGGAGGGCATTTTCGCCATTAAAAAAGATGGCTTTGACTCTGCGAAGACTACATTTATGAAAACGAAATCAACAGGAAAAAAGCAATTGATCCAAAATTTGGATAGTACTTATATAGTTAGTTTGACTTAACATAAAGTTTAAAATAATTTTTTTAAAAAAAAATAATTATAATCTAAAATAAGTGATGCATGTTTGTTTGTGTGATTATAAATTATTTTAATTGAAAATAAAATAAATATTTTAATATTAAATTATTATTAAATATATTAAACTTAATGAAAAAATAAATAATATAAATGGAGACGGAGGAAATATATATTATACCTGGAAAAGGCACTAAGAATGGCCATCTTATCTCATGAACCTATTGGCTATAATTCTTTACAAATTGCACCATCTTTACTTGTTCCCCTCTTTCTCGATTTGAGTTATATGCAAATTTTCTTCTCAATTATATATTTATTCATTTTCATAACTATTAATATTCAACATAACCTATGTACACTCGAAAATTTTGTAACAAAAAATGTGAACTGAATGATTTGCCCAATTATTTTGAGTCAATTTTTTTGAGCTAAAATGACAATTACGATGAAACGGTGAGAGTAATTTTTAGAAGTCTTCACAGGTTGAAGAGTGTACTCACTGGAACAAGAAGCTTCAAGTAGAAAAGGTCAACTCGTGTTGATAAATCCACTAAAATAAATTAGTAATATTTTTTATTGAAGTTTATTACTAAATAAATGCACCATGATGATTTTCACACAATATTATAAATTAATGAGAAAAAAAATTAATACTAGTATCATATTGATTCATGATTGAAAAAACCTCTATTTTAACCATATGATTGGATAGAGGAAACTGCTTAACGACTCCGTAGATAAAGTTTTAAGTTATGTTTGGGCATTAACTTAATTAGAAGGAAAAATGAGATTGTGAAACTTCAACAATATTAGTAATTGAAAAGTAATACTTCAATTAAAAATACTCTTTAAACCAGTATTTTGATATTTTATCAGTTATTTTAAATAATGAAGTTCAGATCATCATTAGTAAATATTTCCAGTAAAAAGGATGCGGCGTATTGAATTAGATATATGAGGTTGCTCTTTTTTTTTTTTTAATTATAAGTCTCAAATTAAAATTTTAAGTATAGAAAAATCTTCAATAAAGAGCACTTTCTTCTAACGAGAACCTACCCAGTGAATCCAAAATGGTCAGGCGATCTACACAATGAATTTGAAAGAGTTAGGTTTTGATATAAGCATTTTACATCGGATATAAAATTAAAAAAAAATGAATTTTACCTTATTATTAATTTATTAAAAATTACAATTACATATTTTGCCCCATCTGAGCCCACTTTATATTTTTGGGTGTAAAATTTCTAGGAACAATTGGGGATCGTTTAATAGCGGAATAGAGCTATGTATGTATAGTTAATATGAGTATTAGTTATACATACATTATAATTATGCATAATTTAGATATACACATATTAGTTATGCAGAATTTAATCATATATATATTAATTACGTATGTATTATTTGTGCCGTGTTTATCAATATAGTTCTTATTTAGAATATTTTAATATCTTATTTATATAAATAGATTTATTCATTTAGTCGATGATATAAAAATTTATTTGTAAGATTTTTATGCTTATAAAAAATATATATCCGAACAAAATTTCAAACTTCAAATTGATGAACGAGAGTATATACTACTATTGCATTTTTAACCCAATAAAACAATCCGCAAGCATCTACAAAAATGAAAAAATAAAAATCACTAAATAATATTTATTATTATTTAATTAGCACACTATAAAATATAAATCTAGGTATAAAATAAATATTCTATATCTACCATTATATAGTTATTACAAGCGTGTTTAAACCAACTAAATGTTAGATTCTTTTATTTTATCTCTAAGTAATGGGACCTCTCTTCCTCTTCACCTTCCCTTCTTTTCCCCTCTTCTCCTTTAGTTCTCTCCCTTTTTAAAAAAGAAAAAAGAAAAAAGAAAAACACAACACCCACTTGAAATATCAAACAAATTCCTGATTTGATTATTTTGTATTTTTTTTAGATATATGGATGATGAAATAATGTATGGTTTTAATTCCACAAGAGATGATTATGCCGATAAAGCTTTGATGTCACCGGAGAATTTGATGATGCAAACTGAGTACAACAATTTCCACAACTATACCAACTCCTCCATCATGTTTGGATCCGATCCTATTCAATTATCATCGGAACAAACGCTTCAAAATAATATTTATCGTGGAAATTGTTGTGGAGGCAGTGGAAGTGGTGGTGATAACAATAATAATAATGATGAAGATGGTTCAAATATTATCAAGGCTAAAATCCTCTCACATCCTTATTATCCTAAATTACTCAACGCTTATATTGATTGCCAAAAGGTTGGTTAACTATGGTATTATGATTCCTTATTTATGAACATTATATATACTAGCTAGAAAGAATTATTGGATTTTCTTAACCTAAATTTTTATATATATATATATATATAATATAACTTGGAAATTTTGTTTTTCCAGGTTGGAGCACCAGCGGGTATAGTAAATCTGCTAGAAGAGATAAGGCAACAAAATGATTTTCGTAAACCAAACGCTACTTGTTTATGTATAGGAGCTGATCCTGAACTTGATGAGTTTATGGTTAGTTACTAGCTCTTTTATTTCTGTTTGTAGAATTTATTGTTGGACTTTCTTTGGAAAGTTAAGTTGAATTAAAATTATCTAGTGTGAATAGTTTGTTTGACCATACCATATGCTTGTTCAATCAAATAGGAAACGTATTGTGATATATTGTTGAAGTATAAGTCCGATCTGTCTAGGCCTTTTGATGAAGCAACAACCTTCCTCAACAAGATTGAAATGCAATTAGGTAATCTTTGCAAAGGTTAGTCAAACATTTTATCGTAATCTCTTTCTCGATCATGTTGTTTGTATTGATATTAGTGTAATGAAATATTGTTGTATGGAGTAGTATTAGAGTAGAAAATTTGTGTTATAGAACATGGCTCATTTTCCACAGAGCGAAAAACAGATTCTAACTGTCATAGTGGTTTTTCTACATGAGAACATCATCCTTTTTCTTCTTCAATCAAAATATCCATGAGAATATGACAATACTTTTCTCTGGTTGAGAACCTCTTTTCCTTCAATTCTTCTCTCATATGAGTAGAGACTACAAGAATTGAACATACGTCTATTATAGGTAATTCTCGCTCTCACTAATATTGTCATCGGAGGTAAAATCATTTTAAGGAAACGAACTACTAAAATTCACATGTGTGTTTGGAAATAATAATGGAGCATAGAGCTACAAAAAATATAACCAAAAGTTGTCAGAGATGAAAATAATGATCAAGTGTTTCTTGCCTCTGTGTATTCAAGCCGTGACTGATTATATAATTTTGGAAAATTTTGCTTGTTTTGTGGAAAATAATTCATTGATAGTAGCAAAAAAACTATGTAATTTTTTGCCCTCCTTGAGGGTTAGATGTTTTTTTTTGAGTGCCACTGGGACCTTTGATATCCTAGTTTTACTCATATTGTTTTTGTGGTGCTTCACTTGCCTTTTGTTTTGTTGTCAGAATTTCTTTTTTTCATTTAAAACCACTTTAGCTCAGAGATTCTGATTTTGACATATCACAATTGAGGTGACATGGCTATAGTAGCTCTTTCAATAAACAGTGACGTATGTCCTCTATACTCTATATCTACCCTATTACTAGATCATTGCTCATGTTTTATATATAGGAAAGGTGATCATTATATACTCCCTCTCTCTCCCCTCAGAAGAATGATCTAATTTGAATTTACATAAAATTTTAATAATTTTAATCTTGTAATTTTAAACACGTTACGTGGACAACTGAAATTAAGATGATCTAATATCATGCAAGTTTACTGTACATTTATATCTATTTGTTTTTGGTAATTTGATGATGATTGCACAAGAAGGACAAGTTTATCACTTAGTTATTGTTAAGTGGTACATATTTTCAGCTAATTCATAAAGGTTAAGTCGATTATTTTGATGTAAATCGATCATTTCTTTGGCCAATACTTAAATGTCTGAATCCAAGATATAATCAAATAGCAAACTAGTTCCTATCAAATTGTGGAGATGAAAATAGGGTTCATAATTCTTGTACTTGGACTACTGTTGTAGCTGGAGCTGGCTCACGCGTATGATTAGACATAGATGATTGATGGTAGTACAAATTTTGAGTTTTCAACTTGGATATATATTTTCAATACAAAGATATATACTTACTTCATTTTGTTTTAGGTCACTATTGTAGCATTATTTTACATTCATCTTTTAGGTTATATCTCATTTGGTCACTTAGTTACGAATTTTCTACTTCAGAAAGTCATTTTCTTTGTTGAAGATAATTGATATTAGGAAGAAATGTGAGTCTTTGAAATAATAATTGATTATTAGATGAGTAATTATCTGAAAAACAACTCGACTCTTAAGCTCATATAATGTTGTTTGGATCCTTCAATATGTTTTTTGGTGCTACATTTTTTTATTTGGGAAGATCTACTGTAGTTTTAATAAATTTTTTGAAAGATTCAAACAACATAACTCATAAATTAGATTCAAGTACAGTATGTCAACAAAGACCATATGTTTGAGTAGAGTCTATAATAGTTGGATGTATGTATATATATTCTCAGATAGAATGTGGCTTGCATGTGGAACCACAATTAATTGGTCTTTCCAACGCCTTCATCCTATTTATTTTTCAAGTTCCAATATTATAGTGCTATGTGTTCTTGCCAGACACATTGGGAATTGTTTGATGTCTCATTGGTGTTCACTTAAAAGTGATTATATAATCTTCTTCATTTACCTAATGATTTATCTCCATCTTACAATAATGTATAATCGAGAAATATATACCTTAACTCTATATTAATAGATTTTAAATCTAAGAATCGATGGCCTGGCAGTTTTTTTTTTTTTTTTAAAGTAAGTTATACATGCTAAGTACAATTGGAACTTATTGTTTATAATGTTTGCTTTAATTTGATCTAATCTAATAATTAATTGCTTAGATTAAAGTATTAAACTAAATATATAGGATACAAAGTTGTGTTATTTTATGCTTTCTCCACGTATTAGAAGCTGTCATTGTCCAAATAGTTTAATTAATTTGAGAGGCAAATGGTATAATTTGATCTGTATAAGGCAGGCAGCAGCCTTACAGTCTAAAAAATTGACGAGGAGATTATAAAAGGGTTGTTAATAATAATGAATGGGTAAATATATTCTTTGTGTTTGACAAACTATATAAGTAATATTTATTTTTAGTTTCAAAGTACAGATTAACTTTTTAATGATACAGAGAGTAATTTATTAATCTAGCCTCGTGTGCCTTTTGTTTTAATTTCAATAAAAAGATTATTTTTAGTTTAGTAAGTTCAAAGTGATCAACTGCATATGTTCACGTGCTTAGATTGCATTAAACTGATAAACTGCTGGATGCTGTTTTCCCTATTGTGTTGTACTTGTGGCTTTCTTTTTTTAATGTTCAAAAGTTTATGCATGCTTGCCTGTTATATTAATATTATGCTTGAGATGTAAGCTAAATTAATACATATATTTGTGTCATTGGCATAGTAGATAATTAATTATATAGCCATTCTCGTAATTGCGGAGTAGTAATTATCGTAGTGGTTGTTAGTAGTACTAGACCTTACTTTGATCAGTAGTAATTATGTGAGGCTCGGTGAGAAAACGTTGATTGTTTAAGAATATTACCACTACCAAATTTTGTTTTAGTTTGCAAAATGAAGTTTCAACTTCTTAACAACAAGCATGAACCCTTACACAATTCTTGTGTATTTAGGTTCTTGCATTGAGATTCATTTAAGTTGATAATATGCATTGGAAAGACTTCTTCAGTCCGTTTGAATTGACTTTTTAACTTATTTTTATCATTTAAGCTTAAAATGATATGTGTTTACATGCATTTTCTTCTCCAAGTCGAAGTAAAAGTTGGTTCTGAGGTACACCTTTGGAGTAATCCGTTTTCAATATGATGTATTCACATTATTTAAGTTGACATAGGTTGTTCTCTCCCTTTAAACGAAATAGAAAGTGAGACCGTATATGCATCATCATCTCTAGATTTTATGCAAAATTATACCGAATATGTCGTTTGATTTGAATATAGTCCAAGAGTATTTGTCAAACTATACGATAATGTATACTCTTGTTTGAATATAGTGTAATAATAAATATAGGAGTAGTAAAGAAGGTTGAATTATTAAAGAAAGAAATAAATGAATGAAGGGACATTTATCTTATTTTATTATATAGAGTGTATTATATATAATGGGACATTGAATAAAAAGGGTAGGACCCAAAAACAATTAATGGGAGAGAAAGCCAGCCCGTGTAGAGCGGGTGGTCGATATATCACATGGACTCCCGTGCTTTACGCTGCCAATTCTAACTCTTTTCTTTTGTTTCTTCCCTTTTTATTCAACAACTACTATTATCCAACAATTCTTTTTTTTAAAAAAAATAAAAATTAGATTGAACACGTAAGTTTAGATAATAAATAAACAAACTAATCAAATATTGTTACATAATGATGTATTATTCTGATACTCTAGGAGCAAAGTGCCACACAAAGGATTACAGTGAAACAAAGTGATCAAGCTTCTAAATCCATATATATATAGAGAGAGAGAATTCAAGTGGATATTGAACATTGGATTGGATGAGAAATTAAAAATAATATACATTTTTATCTTTTCTTTTTTGATTTCTCTCGAAACTGAAAACCCACTGAGAGTGATAGTGTTTGCAGGGTGATGGTAGTCAAATCTTGGTAGGCCACTCTGGTGGGTTCAGTCCAGTCATGGCTCTTTGTGCTCCCCAATGTCTCTTTTCCAATATATTTTTTGATTTTAATTTCTGCTCCTTTCCTCTCATTTTATGTGAAGTAATTTGATTTGATATAAAGTTTAAGTAAAAAAGCAAAAAATTTATAATTTAAAATAAATAATAACATTTTAAAATTAAATTGTTTGTGTCCTTTTTTGGGATGGGCTAAAAAGAAGGATAAGTTAAATAAATGTTTTATCTTAATTTAACATAAATTTATAAAAAGCAGTATGAAGAGTTGTTAAATAATTTTTCTGTGACGGATTTAACTAATAGAATAAATTAATTTTAATAAAAAGAGTACTTTTCTTTTCATTAAAGAGGGTTTTTACCATATAAATATGCGCCTGATAAAATAGCAATCGAGAAATACGTAGCTGTCTTATATCAATCGGTCTAGTACGTAAATTGTCCATATTATATAATTTGTGTCAGTAACAAAAATATTTGATTTTAATTCTAAAAACATGTGCTTTTAAAATAAAATATTTAATAAGATTATGTAATATTTTTATATATTAATTAAACTTGTATATATAATAGACAGAGACATAAATATTTTTTTTTACTGTCTGAGTTAAATACTGTCATATAATAAAACTAGTGTATACACGTGTTTCCTTGCAGCCTTCCAAGTTCCACTACATTTTTAATACAACAGATCGATCCGCTTTTATTACAAAGGTTATTAGTTATATTATCTTTGATGATGTTGGTAGCTTGTTAAGAGAAATATTAATGTGTATGATTAATATTTTGTTTGGTAGTTGGTGAGGACTATGTAGAAAATTAATTTTATAGTGTTTGGTTTGTAATTTAGAAAATGGATAACTACGAATGCTACCTTATATAACTACTACACTGCTTAATGAATTCATGCATTAAATTAAACGATACATAGATTTCCTTATGTATTACTGATATCATAATAATTTGTGTAGTTTGAAGGTGCACATAGTTGTTCCAAATTCTTGATCCGATCTGTTACTTTTTCCTTTTGTGGGTAATTTGTTAGCATTCAGGTGGATCGATTTTTTCTAGGCATAATACATATATTGGACGTTAAATTTGGCTTCAAATTTTTTACTTTGACCACCTACTTTCATAATGCACAAACAGACACTTTAACTATCTACATAACACAACACACGTACGACACCACGTCGGACAAAAAATGACATATAGGACATGTGTGCCTGTTTGTTCAACTTTATACGAGTTTAAGTGTCTACTTGTGCACATCCAAAGTTGAAGGACATAAATGTGATTCGAAGTCAAGTTAAAAAGCATATTTATATATTATGTCTTTCTTCTGACAAGCTTTTAAGTTTGCATTGATATTATCTTTAATATTAAGATGTCAAAAATGTTAGTGCAGATGATGATGAGGAGGAGGAGGAAGAGTTAAGTTGTGGTGATGCATCATCATCAATGAGAAGAAGTGAGGATAATGAACTGAAAGATAGGCTGTTACGTAAGTTTGGAAGTCATTTAAGTAGTCTCAAGTTGGAATTTTCAAAGAAAAAGAAGAAAGGGAAGCTACCAAAAGAGGCAAGGCAAATGTTACTTGCATGGTGGGATGATCACTTTAGATGGCCTTATCCTACGGTTAGTATCTCTCTGTTTTAGTTAATTAATTATAACGTGACATGAAATATAATGTTACCTTGTGTTGAATTAAATAGGAGGCTGATAAGAATTCACTAGCAGAATCAACAGGACTTGATCCAAAGCAGATCAACAATTGGTTTATAAATCAAAGGAAGAGACATTGGAAACCATCTGAGAATATGCAATTAGCTGTTATGGATAATCTAAGTGCTCAATTCTTCTCATCAGATGTTGATTGAGTTTCGAATACTGCTCTCATCATTTCTCTTTTTATTATATAAATTGTATATTTTTCAATTCTTCTCGATCTAGCTAACTATCAAAATTAATGATAAATAAATAATAGTGACAGTTGCTTAATTGTAAAGGTTTACTTTTTGTTATACAAATTTAGAGAGGAGAATGAACAAGAAAGACTATCCTAGTAAAGATCCAAAAAACTATGGATATATATATATATATATATATGTATTTAATTAAATTTTACAACTGAAGAAAAACATTCTAATGTAATATCAGTCCAATATGTATGTATGAAATGTCTGATTATTTTTTAAGTTTGTACGCAAAAACAAAATCTTATTATGATATAGTTACTTGAAAAGAACAGTCTACAGGTTTGCCATTGAACTCAGACAATCAAGTTATGTATAGTGCAAAGAGGTAATGTCATGCGTCTTGTGAATAATGAAATGTCCACTTGGCTTTGATGAATAGTTAGTATCCAGTTCATCTAGCAGAGAAAACAAGCGCATTTTCAAGTTCAAACGAGCATAAAGAAGGTACATATATATCATGAAAAGTCATGATCCAGACTTTTCAAAACGAAATGATCAAAATTTTTTCATGAATGTGGGTTAAGACCTCGATAATGTATTTGATTCGTCCCGCAAAAAACCATTTTAAAGTTCAAATGCGCCTGAAAGCAAGTTTTTTTCCAATTTTCCAAATAGAAACTTGTACGTACTTGTTCATAACTAATGGTTTTAGACATCGAATTTAAAAATCAAAAGATTTGGTGGAAGCCCACCCATATCAAGAGGATGTTGATGCTAGCCGGGGAAGTCAAATTAACAACCCTTGTTCATAAAGAGAATCAGGTCACCTGAGTTGTTTCTAAAATTAAATTCGATGTAATTCATCCAGCACTAGGTGTTATTAGACTCCTTATAATTTCCAACTACACACTTAATTAACATTTCACTAAGATAACTTTACTCGATCGAGGTTATTCATTTACCACTAAGTGCGTTATAGCAATTCTTAAAGATGAAATTATCTAATGTATCAGTATCAAATATCCCAATGCAGTTCTGTTAACAACTTGTTAATTTTGAATACGATGTGCTGATTAATATTGTTAAAGAATGACAAAAGTCCCACATCGGTGATTAATGAGATGGGTGGACTCTTTATAAGGCTTGGGTAATCCTCCCTCTTTTGAGCTAGCTTTTGGGGTGTGAGTTAGGCCTAAGACCTAATTTCACATGGTATGAGAGCAGGACAGGACTCATCGGTGATTAATGAGATGAGTGAACTTTATAATCAGAAAAGGAATTGAAATTTCTTATATTTCTTATATCGTTTTGCTTTACTTCGTCTCCCTGTTTTCTCTTCCTTCTCTGGTTTATATTTGTCTCGGATCTGAGTTGTACTTGTTTTTGAACAAATTTTCATTTTTAAAATCATATCTAGAAATAGATATTTCAATGAAAATTACTGGCCAAATCATATCCTTTAAATCGCTTTTTATGCAAAGAAAATTAAGATATTTCGATGATGCTTCAAGTTTTCTATATCTTAAATTAAGAAAACTGATGATTTTTTATACTCCTTTTCGAGTTTATATAGAGTTTTTGTAACCCCGATAGTGAACTACTTAAGTGTATGATTTATAAATTATAACAAAAAAGGTAACATAATAATTACATGAAAGGGGGAAACAAAAGGAGCGCGATCGCTTTTTTCCTCATTTGGTTGTTCATGTTAACAATTTTGCTTTGTGAAATAGTTTGAAATTTAAGTTGACATAAACTAAATACGGAGTCATGAACCAATTTATCTTACCACGAAAAGTGATGCTCCCAAGTAACTAAGGAAATAGACTTATAAAATATTGTTGAACAACAACAGATGTTAGGAGAAACTAATGAAAATTCAATCCCTGTTAAGTAGAAAGAGAACTGATAATCAATAATAATGCATTAGGGTAGAAATCAGAAAGACATATAGGTTGATCTCGATACCTTAGCGATGCTAATCGAGCGAAAAAGCTTAGAAAACTGAAAAAGAATATATTTCTAAGCACGTCTCACGTTTAGGTACTGTTATGAGAATCTAACTAGCCTGAAGAATGCATCTTTCAATAAATAGAGTTGGTGTTATTTTCAACTAACTACGTACAAATTTCAATATATATCTCAATAATAATATGACCAAAAATGTTCACAAGGATAAGAAAAAGCAACAATTAGATATATTCAAAAACAAAATGAAACAAGTCATGTCGAAGATGTTACTTTCATACAGAGATGAAGCCAAATAGTACTTCTACTTTAAAATTAATTAATAAAGAAACTCAGAATGCGTTGAGATACATAGCAAAACGACTAGTTGAACCACAATAATAATAATAATAATACTATGAAGCAGAAATGAGGAGGTGGAAGTGAAGTAATGATACCAAGAAAGACATGGCAAAATCTTCAAGTAGGTAAGCAGAGAATGAATGAAGTTCGGCTGGCTGGGTACTTTATATAGAGAGGAGGAAGCAAAAACGGATAGAAAATTGAAAGTACAATTCTCCAACGTTCTTTTTGATGGGATTTTTTGGTACAAGACAACGTTACGCTCTATTCTATTCTTGTTGAGTCCAAACCGATATATTTCAATATTTTTATTTTCTTCTTTATAAAGGTTTGTCTTGAATTGATTAAAGTGTTTTAACTTTATATTACATGTAAATAACTGCTCTATGTTGTATATGGAGAGGCATTTTTAAATTTTTATGTAAATAACTGCTCTATGTTAGTGTTCTCATTTTATTTTTTAAGAAAAATGGTAAAACATCTTGGATAAAAACTTACAGATGTAACTAGATCAAACATCACATAACTGTGGCACATCTATTGAAAACAAATATATTGGTTTGGTTTGTTACATACATACAAACTGTGTATATATTGTTGATACATTGCAAATAACAAACACTTGTTCAACCTCTAGATTCAAGACCAGGCTGAGTTCAACATTCGCGGTGCGCTCATCTCCTGTTTCTTCAAACTTGTCTGAGCCAGAATCCCCCACATTATGAAAAAATGAATCTATAGACAACACAAAAGACTGGGGTTGATAAGATCAACAAATTATGGTTTCCAAGCAGCTGGCGGAGGTGGTGGAGTAGGGAACATGGGTGGTACTGCAGAGAATATCGTGTTCTTGTCAATTCCAACACTTTTATCTCCAGATAGAGCTACGAGGGCTGCAACCAACCCAGCATTTCCGGCAAGTGTTGGCTCGGTATAATTGTAATTAGTACGAACATCATGGAAACCATCATTCTTGTCTGGTCCAGCAACCATGGCACCAACAAGAATATTGGGATTAGGCTTAGATGAATCCCTCCATTTCCACCCTCCTTTACAATTATACTTGACCTTGTTTTTAGGAACTGATGCACCTCGATGGTGGACACGTTTTGGATAGTGATTGCCAAAGCCAACAACATAACTCATTTTCCTGGGGTTCTTGCCAAGGATATAGTCAATCTAAATGTCAAAGAAGAACAACCAAGTTAATGCCACAAATGGTTTTAACATTCGATAATAACAACATTCATCAAGTATTGGAATAATTTTTTCACAACTATTGGGAATTTCATTTTACCTGAGTCTGTGCAAATTCACGTAGGACATCGGTGGAGTAGAAATTAGGTCCACAATACCATCCAGGGGTGTCGGCTGCTGCAAGGTAGTCACTATACAAGGTAGCCAGGAAGGCAGCATTGACTACATACTGAAGTGGCTGAGGCCTTCCATGGTTTAATTCTATCAGCCCACCTGCAAACACCCAACGGTTTATATTTGACTTCCCACAAACTCCACAAAAACATCTTATATGCTAACTAGATTACCTTTCGTTCGATTAAATGAAGTGAAGAATGGCAAGAATGAGCACATGACTATGCTTGTCTGGTTATGAAACGTACTCAAAATTTCTTCATAAGGATATCCAGGGCTCAAAAACAATCTCAAACGGCTTAGAAGCACCTAGCAACAAAGAATGAAAAGCATTGGTTCAATACAATATTGATCTCTCATACAAAATGACAAGCATTGTTTTAGTATAAATAAAGGGTGGGTATATGTTCTTACTTGTGCTCCAAAGAGCTTATTATCCCAGCTGAACACGCCATAATCAGGACCTCCCCAGAAAGCACCAGCGTGTTTGGCGATACCAGGAGTCGTAGCAAGCTGAAGATATGAAGTATTTCCTGTAGCATAATATAGCCAGGATGCACCCCACACAAACTCATCCCAATAACTAGTCGAATTGTAGAAAATTGAAGCTTCATTTCCGCTACTGTATCTACCACGTTGTTCCCTGGCAAACTTGAACAGAGTTCTAGCACCATGGACAAGCTTTTGTGAGTACACTTTGTTGTCCTTAAATACAATGGAAGCAGAAGCCAGTGCAGCAGCCATCTCGGCAGCAAGATCCGAGCAACTGTGACATTCAGTTACAGGCCGTGGATAATCAATGTCTTCTGGACGCACCCAACAATAGTGATCATTGGGATCTGGTCCTCCTGAGGTATCCCCTATCCCCACCTATATATAACAGAGCACAAATGAGATAGTTGATTTCGTATTTGAAAATGCCAAACGCGTATATAAAATGTTAACTCAACAAAAAATGAATGAGATTTACTTGTGAAACGAGTCGATCAATGGTATCAGCTGAGGAATTGAATGTTTTCAAGAGATAATCAGTTCCCCACTTGATAACATCCTTGATATGAGTGAGCTCTCCAGCAGCTTCATATTTTGCAGGATACTCAATCACACTCCAACTCAAGACAGTTAAAGCAAAAGATTGAGGGAAATTAAACTTGATGGCATCTCCTGCATCATAATAACCCCCAACCAAATTCTTAAAGGTAGTGGAACCATCGGATTTCCCATCCTGTAGAGCTGAACTCCCCCTCCATGATACATTATTATGCTTAGGAAGTTTCCCAGCTGTCAAAAAATCAAAGACAAAATCAAAAACAAATCATGTACATTTATTTGGGAGGAAAAAAAAAACTTACAGCGCTGTGCATTGAAGAACATGATAGCTTTACGAAGAGCTAAAGTGTA